CTCCTGAAGTCCAGCGTTGCAATCCTACTCATTGCCCCGCTTCCTCCTCGGAGGATCCTGAACTCCACCATCTCATGGTCACTGCAGCCAAGGCTGCCCCCAACCTTCACCTCTCCAACTAGACCTTCTTTGTTCGTTAGTACAAGGGCTAGCAGTGCACCTCTCCTCGTTGGCGTCTCCACCACCTGCGTCAAGAAATTATCCTCAATCCTCTGCAGGAACCTCTTTGACTGTTTCTGCCTAGCTGTGCTGTCTCCCCAACAGATGTCAGGGGGGTTGAAGTCTCCCATGAGAACCAGGGCCTGTGAGCGTGAGGCTACTTCCAGCTGTCTGTAGAAGGCCTCATCGACGACTTCCTCCTGGTCAGGTGGCCTGTAGTAAACCCCCACAACAGTGTCACCCATGTTAGCCTGCCCTCTAATCCTTACCCATAGGCTCTCAAATAACAGTAGGTCAACAAAACACTGTAATCCTCAACCTGTTACGTTGACAATATCCATTAGCAAATGGTACCTCAAGTCCAAAACCAGATCTTTGATTAAAAGCAAAAGCAAAAAGTAAATAAATTAAGGACACCCTTTGTCATACTCTTGGTATGATATGGCATACAAGAGCTGCTTAAGGGCTGTTATTACCCAGCAGAGTCAATGACATTAATAACTACCCACTGATGGCATAACTATCTGATTAGCTCCCAGATTTACTTCAAATAATACCACTTATGCTTTTAAAAATATCTCCGGTATTGTTTAAGCCAAAAAAAAATGCAGCTGTGTACACGTCCATCACTGCAGTATCTTTACAAATGTTACAGATATTACATAACTATGCATTAACATCACCAGCTGTTGCAATTAAAGAGATTTCTTTTCGTGTTACCGGAGATATTTTTTATTCTCTGAAGGGTATTCTGAATCAGCAGGACATATTCATTCCGCCTGGCTGATTTTAGCTACTCTAATCCTGGTCCTGATTTTAGTTACCCTAACCATACTGCTTTTGTGGAAGCCTCTGCAAGGAATTTAGTCTGAGCCACTACTGCATGAAATAGCACAAAAATCCTGGTTAGAACTTAAGACACACTCCAGCTTAGTTTATTTTACTCAGTATGCCTATATATAAATAAATCAGATAAATGTGGTAGAATGCAGAGGGACTAAAAGTCTGCCAATTTCGATACTTTTTTGACAACAGTTTTGATTGCCTCAGCTGCAATTGTTCAGCTTCAGCTGTAGCGTGTATGTGGCACATCAGTAGGGAAGAGAGATTTTATATGCAGGTCATAAGAGTGTCTGACTGATGTGTAAGAGTAGCAACGAAACAGGGATGTGGAAATCCAGCAAGTCGACCAATGACATAAGTTAGTATGCATTACATTCTAATTATCCTTGGCTTTCTCTGTCTCTAAAGTTTATTTCAGTTTGCTTATACATTGTTTAGTCAGAGCAAATTTGAAGAAGTCTAGCTTTCTATATCACCCCTGGAAAGTGGAAGCACCACGTATGAAATCATGGAGAGGTTCCTTACGTTCCTGCCATAATTTTGTTCCCACTTGAGTCATCCAAGTCTTACCACAAATTGTTGGTTCATTGCTTGTGAACACGCTTAACCATGCGATATCTAAAATAAAACACACTTAATAAATATATGGAATTAGACAGTTAATCTTCAAACTTAAAAGCATCAGAAACAATTTAGAGAATTGTTTTAAAGTACAATCTGAGGAACTGTGCAATAGCAATAAGTATCAGACTTCATTTCCTGCAGGTATCTGAATTCATATAAGCCTGATAAGAGTGTGCAGTTACACTTGTACACATGTACTCTCAAGTCTGAACTCAGAGCCTAATAAATGTATTAAGTTATTATATTTTACAGAAGAGAATTCACCTAAGAAAACAGAGATCGATAATGAAATATAAGGCCTTAAATGCTATGAAAGACAAGCCTGGAAGCGTTCAGCAACAGATGCTGGGACCCCTATACAAAGTGAACATGACTGGAAGGTAACAGATAGCAATGGCATGTTTTTTCTGGCTCTTCTAACAGGCGCCTGAGTTATGCCAGGCAGCTGCCTGGGGAAGGTATTACTCACTTCAGCTTAACGTCAGAAGTGGCCAGTTCGCTGTTGGTTCCTAATTTACAGTTGTCTAAACTATATTATAATGAATATGCAAGTTTGTGTGTCTTTGTATTTACACATATAAGGATATCACATACATTTCCATTTTTTTTCTTTAGGAACGTTGGTATCTTCTATATCTGGATTATAACACTAAGAGTCTATTCACAGGCTGCTTCTGTTATATACAAGTACAGCTTTTATTGCTGCTCATAAATTAGGAATACTAATTGTTAGAGTTACTTCAAAACTGCATGAAGTTTATGAACTGTATGAATTGTATGATACGTATAAGAGATACTTCTAAAAATAGAAAGCACGCTTAAATACTTTACTGGTCAGTGCAGTTGTCATTAGTCATAGTTTAATAGAATAAAAGTTCTGTTAATTTAGTTTCTAAATGTAGCAAGCAAGCCTTTCTGTTCCTTTATCTGAAGAAAATCTAATGGACTTCTCATTCCTATAAAAGCTGAGTTTCTATAAGAATATAAAGTTTCAATGAGTAAGTAGCTATCTTGCAGATTTCAACTTTTCCCTATATTCCAGTTATATCTTTTTTGCTTTTTCTCTCTACTTTCATATCTCTGTAAAATGTATAATTCTAGAATAACTGCATTCATTGTTATTTGCATCTTCTCTGCCAAAAGCATACCCTCTAACAATTATTTCTGTGATGTTAGTTGTGGTATCATTTTCTGTGTTAATTAGAGAAGCCCTAGCTGAGGCAATAGAAGAGTTCCATGAAATATAAAATAATCCCATAAGTTCCAAAGTTGTCTCTGTTTTTAATTCATTTTGCCTTGTCCCTGTGCTTTCTATCTCTTAACAGGTAAACATGTAGACATGCCATTAACTCAGATGGGAGCAAACAAGTTAATCTCCTTTTCATTCAAGTGTGTTATGTGCCTGCTATAACCTGGCTATAAGTTCTCTTATATCACCACCAGTACTTCATAAAGATGCAATAAAATGTTACCTCTACTGTTAAAAGGTACATTTAACATTGCCCTATAGTACCATACATACAGTTGGTGAGTTTTGATATAAAAAGCACATTGTACCTTCATGGGACTGCGAATCCTTGGTAGATATTTCATGATGACCATTTTCATCTAAGTCAAAATGCACAGTTTTTGAGTCTTCTGTCAGTATGTAACATTTTAGTGTTTCTCGTAGACTAAACGCTAATCATAAATGAGTTTTAATTAGTTTTACTAGCAGCAGAAAAATGGCAAAATTCCATAATAAAAAACAAATGTATTTTTACAGCAAACTTTGCCTGATAACCTCCATATGTTTCACAAAAACTAAATACACCTTACAGCAGTATAGACAATGTATAATAAAAATTATAGAGTGGGGTAAAGCAGGTCTTTTTGTGGGTTTGCTAGTAGTGTCAAGAAGGAAGAAAAGAGTTTGTGCTTGGAAGATTGTCTCAGTGAAAAGAAGAAATGTACGCTGAGCCATCTGGAGAGTTAATGTGTGTTTTTGAGCTTGAAAAAGTGGCTCCCAGCTAAAGAGGAGTGGTTAAGCCTGAGGGAAAACGAATGAAGGGGGATTCTGGACAACTTGCAGAGAGCTGTGCTGGAAGAGACTGATGGGGCTAGGGGGAATCTGAGTAAAAGAGGGAGGGCCTGAATTATCAATCAGCCGGTGAATGGATAGTCTTATGGCAGAGCAGTCCTGTGGGGAGACTGCAGAGCTCAAGCAGGGTTGTACACAACGGCCTGCACTTAGAGAGGACAGTGAAGAACAGAGAGAGCTAAGGTACAAGTTTTCATTCCGAGGGAGGGAAAAAGTGAAGCACAGAAAGTGCGGCATACTGTTTCCAGACTAGTTTCCTTTACTTCATAGATAAATGCTTGTTTGTTTCCTGATTTTGCCCTTGGAAAATTATATCTGCTTGCAGAGAGCAGTTTCAGGGTGCATGTGGCTAAATAAATAGCATCATTTATTTTAGACACTGGTTATCTCTTACAGAAAAACAATCACATGTTCATAGGTAAAACTTGTAAGGAAGAAAATTGAGCTATCAGAAATATTAGGCCAGGAGACTTGGAACTGAGCAAAGAAAAGCAAGACAAAGGAAGGTAAGTACAACAACAGGACAAAAGCCAGAGATTTTTTTTTTAGCCGGGGTATCAGTAAATCAAGACTGTTAGAGCACAGAAGTAGCACAGAAATTGCTCAGAAGCACATTACCTTCCAGCAACTGCACATATTTCACCAGCCTCCTTCTTCCTTCCTTTATTAGCCAGAAAGCCTGCTAAAGGCTCAGGGACTTGCATATGAACAGTTCGGAAGAGGGGGGAGAACATGCAGAGCAGCGAAAACTTAAGAGTGAAGACGTGGCTATAGGAATATACAATCAGCACCCTGGGCACAGAGAGCAGTACTGAACAAAAGAGGGAGACAGCCTTTAGGGAAAGTGCTGGAGCAACCATGGTTATCCACAGACTTTGAAATAGCGTTTCCAATATTAACACCAACAGTGAAAACGTAAGCTGAAAAAATCAAATAAAGAAAAAATCATCTAAGAGAGAGAGCATTTGCCTTAGACCACTCTTGATTTTATGGTTTGTTTGGTGTCTCACTGTTCAGCATCACTACTGACTGTAACTCCACAGTTCTGGATGTTTAAAGGACATAGTCCAGCCACTTGGGTGTCAAACATCTACTGAATTAACACTATAAGGCACAATGTATTAGACTGAGCACTGTCTTCCTGCAATAGATTTTCTACTTGTCAATTCAATACAAAACTTAGACATTCCTGAGACAACACAGACCTCTAGAATAAGCAAATGCTGTGAGATAAACTGACCTTTCTTGGCCGGAAAAATTAGGCAAGTAAAACAAAAGCATACTCAGCAGTCACTAACAGTGACATAATCTTCTGGGAATGTTTGACCTTACTGAAAACTTCACTCGCGTTATATTGACGTAGATGCTCTGAAACATCTGTGTCTTAGCAGGCGTTTTGAAAACAGAGTTGTTTCTCAGAGGCTTTCTTCTCATTCTCTCTGTTTAGAGTGATCAGAAACTTTGCACATAATGTGAGCGAAACAGACTAACTGTGCACACCCTGAGAACCTGAGTCAAAACCCCAGCAACAGCAGGTCTGATGCATTCTGTGCTGCACCTTCTGCATGTGCATGACTGATCTACGCACAGGCAAAGCACTTCTCTCTTCAGGTATCTGACAACCTAGGCGGTCCGATTTCCAGAAAAGAAATGGGTTATTTTAAAAAGCAGCACAATAACAGCTAGCATAATTAATACTGCAAAACTCTAGAAATTGTTATTGCATAATATAATAATTGTGGTATAGTATACTAATTAGCATAGTACTGGAAATAAAACAGTTGGCAGTCCGTCTGTGTCACTCACTTCCCTTCCGTGAGATATAGACCTCCTTCAGAAAGTACTGGCCAGCATTCGGTGATGTGAACAAATCTAATGCCACTACTTGGAGGAGTATTTTTCTGCTGTTTATTCTAAACCCAGCTTTTATTTTTGTTCCTCCAAATATTTTCATTTTCGAACTCACTATGCATATGCTTTTCTAGATGCTTAATTCTGCCTTTTTTGTCACCTTTCCCAGATTACAGACGTACCTTTCATTAACAGGAAAGAAAGGCTTACCTGACTTTTCTGAAACTGTTTTACTAGCCCTCGGTTGAGATTTCTTTTCAACATATCGTCTTCTGCTGACAGGTACTTTGTAAGGCTTTTTGCGGCCTGAGCGGAGCAGCATTGTGGAAGTACTTGAGAAATCCTGGCAACCTGAGTTGCCACTGTTTTCCAGTTCTAAAGTGTAAGTCAGAATTGTCACAATACTTCATATTTCATATCAGAATAAATTTACAATAATTTTGCTTAATAACATTTGAAGAAAGCAGGATAAACTCAATAAATTCTTGATTGCTCGCATAACCCAAGCCTCTATCTTGTGTTTCCAATGATGGTAAATCTGTTGATTTATCTTTATTTCTAGTAAGACGCAAATTAGCATGCAGAAAAGTTGTGGTAAAGCAATGTCTTTTAAAGACATCTCTCTTGATAAGCTATAATCAGTTGCGTAAGAATGGGAAATGCTGAGGAACTACCTAACGAGCTAGTAAGATATCTTGAAGACACAGCTTAAATCATTCCCTTTCAAATAAGCTAGGGACCTTACCTCAGAGGTCAAGAAACGGAGACTGTAATTCTCCATTTTAAATCTCTCTTGAAGACAACTTTACAACAACTACTTATGACAAAATGCAGATTAAAGAAAACAATTAACTCCATTTTTTTTCCACTTCCCTGGTGAATGAACTAAGCAAAGAAAGGTATGGGTACGATTTTAGCTCCGTTCAGCTTTACATAGAATAATTAACTGTCATTTAGGCCACAGAGATCCTGACTCTTGACAGTAGTGTAATGACTGTGAATTCATTTCAGGGGAAGAAAGTGCTGTCTTCTAAACGGTTTAAGTTCCCTGATTCAGAATTTGACACTAAATACTTCCGTGAAATGACAGAAATGAAGGACTTCTCTCACTGGCAATTTTCTTGTTACTAGGCTAAGAAGTCTAACTAATGCTCTTTTCCCTGTCTTTGGCTCAGTTTATACAACTGAACATTCATTTATGCCACTGAAAAGTGAAGCATCTTTATTAGAAAGAACTAACTTACTCTTCCTGTTAAAGATGTTTCATTTTTCAAATGCATAATACCTTGCAGTTAGAGGTAAAAAGGTGATTCCCTCATCTTGCTAAGACTGCTTTTCCACTGAGGGTTAAACAAAAGAGAAGACTCTATGTGGTTTTCTGTCAAGTCCTGTCTGGGAGCTGACCTCTGAAAATGGTTAACCCAATAAGGCTCTGCAGAGTATGTGGGCAGGTAATGCTAGCCTGTAGACCTCGAAAGACATTAGTGTCATAAGTGTTCAGCATTAACAGAGCATCAAGTCTTAGTGAGATCTAGGGATGCTGAGAAAACAGGCATTTAACCCCTTTTAGAACATTTCTGATGAAAGTAAAAGGGCAATTCTAGTTTGGCAGCACTTGAACAGAGGTTCAGAAGATCCGTATGCTGGATTTTTACACCTAGTGAAGCAGAAGAGTCCCTGTATCTGATCTTCATTTACAGCAGTTACTAATGCAAATTTAGACTGAAGTTAGTCTTAAATGCTTAATGAAATAAAATTTACTTTTATGGAGAACCAAAGTAATATCATACAAATCGTCTGGCTTTAGTCTTGCACCTGTGTCCCCACCACCCCTGTAAGAAAAGAAGGAGAATTATTACAAATTAGGACCCTGAAGAGTTCCTGAAGAGGGCAGGGCAGTTCTAACTAACTTTTAAAAGCCTATTTTGGGAGTGGAAAAAATTCTTAAGAAACTTGCTACTGAGAAAGATAAGAAATTACTTATGGAATTCTGAAGCACTGTACTTAATTTCAATTGTTTTGAGCTGAGGCTTGTTTTGGACAATCAAACAAGTTTAAACTAGAGGAAATCGAAGTATTTACATTAGAACTTCACCTTGGCTCTCTAGAATAAATAAAACTCTCTAAAATAGATGGCAAAGATGCATTACCAAGCTTCATAGCTGCAACTTCCTTACCTGTCCCCAAAAAATAAGTGAAATATTAATGCCTCTCTTCTGATAACCCTTCCCTTTAATGCCATGTGCTTAGATAGGTATCATCTACTCTTGCTTTTTTATTTTTACTTGTACTTGTTACTGTTGCTTGCACCCTTGCATCTATTTTATTATTCTTTGTTTTAACACCTTTTCAAGCCCATTTCTTCAGTTTCTTCCTCTCTTCTATTAGATATAGGCTACTTCAAGAGGCTTGGGAAGAGCTGTAAACAGTGTTTGTTTTGGAGACTTTGATCTGTTTTGTTCTGCTTCACATCTGGGCTAAGTACCAGGGAAGCAGACAAGTTGAGCTATGGCTATCTAAAATGATGAAATCGGATACACTTGAGCACGTTTGTGGCCAACAGCAACAAGCTGACTCTGAAAGCACAGGGAAATTGAATAATTTTCCTGCTACATACATACCAATGCATTTCTACAAAGGCAGCACAGAAAACTGTTACATAACTTTTCTTGCCCCTTTACTGATCTCTTGCTCTCAGCCATTGTTCTCTCTTCCACTTATTCAGACACATGTGATCATAAAATTAAATTAAATTCAGTACATGAAAACAGGATTTAAAAACTTCGGAGTTCGTTCTAAAAGCAGCATGATCCAAAATTATTTCATGCTACACTGGTGCATTCATAACAGGGTATCTCAAAGACTATCTCAAGGGATCAGATGTGTTTTGGGTTGAAGCTGAAAATCTTGCTTGTTTAAAGACCATCAAAGTTTTACAATTTAACAGTAAATTGAAAGAAATTCTGTCATCCTATAATTAATAAATAATGTGGTTATTTTTTCAGAGCAGTTAACCTTTAAGAAATCTACAGGCTCTAAACTAAACATAAGCTCAGATGAAGGAAGAAACGTCAAAAGAAAACTTTAAATTCAGCTGAAAAATCATTATTTGTTAGAATCTAAACAAGCAGTATGATAAAATCTTCCCAGTTTTCCCCACTTGCTTACCTTATTGTGCCAGCTATTGTCCAAGTTAGAACACGTCTACTCAGCAGAGTGCTGGAAGCAGCTCTGATACAACCAATTTATTGCCTGAACCTATGGCAGGGAGCCAAACCTCTGAATAGAAAAAAAGCCTGATGTAGACCTAGTCTTTTTACTAAGTGAAAATTCTTTTTAGATCTCTTGATTCACTCACTGATATCAATATTTTTGTGATTCTGACTGGTGAGGGAATTCCATGAGCGCTGGAAGCAGTAAAAACAAGCTTTTTAACTTTTATGTCTCTAAGTTGCCATAGAAGCCATCTTTCCTGGAAATTTTATGCAAATTTTTAGCCAGGATTTCTGTGTAGTCCTTGAATCGCCATGAATATCATTCTGACACTTTATGTCATTGGCATGCTGGAGGAGACTTGTTAAAATTATTCCACAATCATTTTTTTAAATAAGGGCTTTACTGTTCTTCCTTCCAGGGATGTTTGATGGGCATATTTTGGGTTCATGGAAATATAAACATATTAAAACTCAAAGCGTAGCCTCAGCCGCAAAAAGCTCAGAACAGGTTAACTGCTTAAACTTTTACCCAGCTACCTGAATGGGCTTTGCCACCTATACCATGCTCCAACTGCAATAGCTGCACTGTTTCTATTACGTGAACCAACTTGATTAAAGCAGATGTGCTGTGTCTCTGCCCGTAAGGTCCAGATAACCCTTTTATCACACAGGGACCATTTTTTTCATTCTTCACATTTGGCATGTTCACTTGCCTTTATCTTTCTACCTGCCCGCCTTCCTATCCCTCCAGTCACCTCTCCATTTGTACACATTAAATTTCTTTTCTTCAGTGAAACTTGGAGATTATGTTTAAAGGAGTGAATCAGACTTTTATATGACTTGTTAAAATGATGAAACCTCTCTAAAAACAAATACACCTTTCTTTTTGCCAGACCTTTCTTACAATCAAGATTTAGCAAATCTGAATGGAGCTACTGCTTTTACCTACAGTTTGCATATTATGTCAAGAAAGTTTCATATATTACCTATATTCGGTTTAGAAAATGTCCTTTTTAGTTCCTTAAGCCCACGCTTTAGCTTTTCTAAATACAAAGAGTCTTTCAAAATCCAAATCAGCAGATGTTTTCAACAGTACATGGAGCTTTTAGTTTAGTGACAGATGAAGAATGAAATAATTTCCTTGGACAATACAGATCAGGAAATGAATTCTATATTAAAAAAAAAAAACAGGGAAAAAGGTTAAGTTTACAGCAAAGATTGCAAAATAGAAAATGTGAGCAGAGTACAATTATCGAAATGTTGGAATACCAGAAAGATCAAGTTTCCCTAAAGTTTGTTTTTCTTACTTGACTCACTAAAACAAGTTGCAAAAAAGATTATGTGTATGCTGCTGTTTTCAGAGCCGCGGAAAGAAAGACCATTAGTATATCCAAAGCACACCTTTTTTCCAAAAATATCTGAAACCTTAAGAGTTTGTTGAAATTAACAAATAAAATTAACAACTTGGAAGCAACTGAGAAGCTGTTCAAGTTTCACAGGTAAATGTCTAAGATTATGTTCTTTGAAAGTGGGTGGCGTTTAATTTCCTCCCCATTGTGGTATCAAAATAAGCCTCATTTAGAAAAACTGAATGCTTAGCTATCCTCACTAAAGCTAAGAGTAGGCTAGTACAGTGATAAGATACAGTTGCCTAACTACCGCAATAGCTATTTTCAAGAGTTCTATTTTTAACAGTTTCGAGATATTTCCCTTTCCCTTTTCTCCCTCTCACCTCCTCCCTCTCCCTCTCCTCCCCATTTCTCTATGCCTTTGAACTTCTCTTAACAAACTTTCTGCATCACTTCTGTTACAATACTAGGTCCAGTCCATCACTGGACACATCTTCAAATTCTTCCCATAATTAAAGATAAAATACCCACATTCAAACTAACATATCTTATTAAATTATTATGAAAGGGCCTAGCTAAACCCACACACTCAGAACTATAAAATAGTTCATATTGTGAAACACTTCAACAAAATTCTTTTAAACCTAGTTCCAATATTATCATTAATCTCTAAATTATTTGTATTTTAAAGCCTTTTTAACCAAAGCTCTCATAAAAGCCTGTTAAAACATTTCATTCTTGCTTATATTATTATGGCAGGGGAAATTTTGATTTTTATTACTTCCCCCCAGAGTAGTGCAAACAGCTCAGCCTTAGCTACCTCTACAGGATGAAGTAATGCAGGATGATGGCATGGAAACTAACAAAGAAAACAACTGCCTATTGTTTGGTAGGCGCAGATTCCAGTACTTCTTCTTCTAAGAGAAAACGATAATCTTCTGCAGAAAATCAATATTCTTTGCAGCAGTGATCAGAAAAGAAGGAAAAAATTTCCTGGTATCTTATGTTGTTGTTTGAAAAGTATATGGCGTAAAGTAAAAACCAACAATTACACTTTACCAGCCAATTAATTTGCAAAGAATGTCCAAGAGACCTGGTTCAAACAGTAATAAAATTGGGACATAGACAATGGACTGTACCAGGAAAAAGATCAGATATGAAAACTTATTTCTAATTTTGACTCTAGTGTTCTGCCAGCTTTATGCTGGGGAAAAGTCTGAACACAAATAGTACCATCCTAGAGAAAGCCTATCATAAACATTTTCAGTGAAAATGATTGAAATCATTCAATATTTGATGTGAAAGGCAGAACTTTCAGATTTTGGAAATGTCAGATTTGAAATACTGGCTATGCTTCGGCTCTGGAGTTTCTCATCTAAAATCTGGTGATCTAGAGAACACAGATTAAATCATTATGCAAAATTTTCATTGTACCAGAACAAAGACTAATATTTGTACCAGGAAATTGGGTACAAATTTCAATCTGAGGTCTTTTTTTCCCCTAAATACATTAAGATGGACCCTAAATTTAATATATTTTGCGGCTTACTGAAACAAACTGACATAGAAAGTCTATCAATACATTTTTTCTTGGAAAGTATAGAGCTTTTCTAATATTCTGAGAACATTTTAGGATGAGCATGTAGCGGGCAACTTTATCTTATTTCACATCCTGTTCACATGCCAGGCTAAAGACATATATAGGACTAAACTGAGTCTACAGCAGCCTATCTATTTCTCCCAGTACTTCCAAACTGTCAGTAACTAATTCTATTTTACTGCACAGTGAAGCTTTCATTCCACTCAAAATCGCAGGCGCTTGTGAAAATTTCTAAGTGTTTCTGTGCACAACAGATGACTAATGACATGGTAATACCTATGCTGACCATGGCTGCAAAGTCTACCCATTTTAAAGAAATCTCTGTTCTTAAAAACACATACTAAAAAGTGAAAAAAAAGATGTATAAAAGGAAGTCATTTCTTCCTCAAATGCTATTTTACTATTTTTTAACAGAGGTCCACAGATGGGGTCAGGTAGAAGTGGTCTGCTGCTCAGTTATATGTGGCAGTTCATCTGTCAGTGTTATAAGCCATGAGATTTCATTTTATATTGAGAAAAACCTAGAGGGAGTCAGGGTATCCTTCCAGACTACAACAGAATTTTTGTCTTAAGGGCACAATTGAGTCACATTAAGTCTGGCTTTAGCCCTTCTATTCCAAAGGAGAGTAGAGTTAACTTAAAAAGATGATGGGAGTGACACAACATAAAGGGGTGTTTCAGAAGTTCACACCGTCATATTAAAAACGTCACAAAGGGAAGCCATGCTGTATCTTTAAAAGGAGACCAATACTTCTCTTTCAGTTGAGTTCTCTTGATTTCAAGGAGGATTTTCAATGAAAGCAAGGAAAAATTTCCTCAATACAGGAGGAGCCATTTAGGGAACATTTAAACAAACCAGACCTGCAGAAGTCGATGGGACCTGAATGGCATGCACCCATGAGCGTGAAGGACCTAGCAGAGGTCACTGCGAAGCCATTCTCGATTAGCTTCGACAGGCTGTGGCAACTGGGAGAGCTTCCTGCGACTGGAAGAAAGCAAGAGTCCCTCCTGTACTCAAAAAGGGCAAGAAAGAGGACGTGGGGAACTGCAGGCTGGTCAGCCTCACCTCCGTCCCTGGGAAAGTGGTGGAGCAACTAACCCTGGATACCGTTTCCAGACACAGGAAGGACAAGAAGGTGACTGGGAGCAGTCAGCATGGATTTAGGAAGGGGAAACTGTGGTTATCCACCTGATAGCCTTCTAAAACGCGATGACTGGCTGGCTGGATGAGGGGCGAGCAGTGGATGTTGTTTACCTTGACTTTAGGAAGGCTCTTGACATTGTGTCCCGTAACACCCCGCAGCGACAAGCTGATTAACTACAGACCAGAGAAATGGAGAGTGAGGTGGCCTGCCAACTGGCTGAACTGCTGGCCTCGGAAGGTTGTGACCAGTGGCAGAAAGTCCAGCTGGAGGCCCGTCAGTGCTGGTGTCCCCCCAGGCGTTGATACCGGGTCCAGTACTGTTTAACCTCTTCATTAACGGCCTGGAGGATGGGACAAAACGCACCCTCAAAAAGTTTCACAGGATCACAGAATGGTTGAGGTTGGAAGGGACCTCTGGAGATCATCTAGTTCAATTCCCTGGCTCAGGCAGGGCCACCTAGAGCCACCTAGATCCTTCCCACAAAAAGTCTGCAGATTCAAAACTGGGAGGAGTGGCTGATAAAGCAATTGGTTGTGCTTCTATTCAGAGGGACCTCAACCTCTGCTCAGCACTGGTGAGACCCACACCTGTAGTGCTGGGTCCAGTCCTGGGGTCCCTAGTACATGGGAGATATGGAGGTACTGGATCAGGAAACAGAGGGCCACAAAGATGATTAAGGGACTCCAGCCTCTGTCCTGAGGAGAAGCTGATAGAGCTGGAGCTGTTTAGCCTCGGGAAGAGAAGGCTCAAGGGGGCTCTTATCAAAATGTATGAACATCTGATGAGAGGATATAAAGAAGATGGAGGCAGATGTTTCTGAGTGGTATCCACTGAAAGAATGAAAGGCATAAACTGAAACACAGGAAATTCCACTTAAACCTAAGGGGATGATCTCACCTTGGAACAGGTTGCTCAGAGGCGCTGTGGGCTCTCCATCCTTGGAGATATTCAAAAACCAGCTGAACATGAACCTGAGCAACCTGCTGCTGTTGACCCTGCTTTGAGCATGAAGCAAGGTGAGGGTTGGACTGGAGACCTCCAGAGGTCCCTTCCAGTTCTGAACTATGCTGTAATTCTGTGAAATTATTATTCCAAAAAGTTATAAATTATTTACGCTACTGAACTATATTTCAATTTTTCTGAATCTCCTATTTGGAAGTAGTTGGATTTTTTTTCTCTAGAAAAAACTGTCAAAACAGCAGTTCAGCCGAAATGCAGTTGGATAAGAATGAAGACTGTTTGATTTTAAACAAATTTTACAGATGTATTCCTACAGCTTTTGTGAAAACACTCAAGAACAAGGGTCAATACTTGAAGCTATTCAAAAAAAGAGATAATCCTTTAAGTTTTTATCTTTCAAGTGCTGCCCAGTCTGAACACCATTCAAACTAGTCTTCACTGCTGGCATGGTACAGTAGGAATGGTACCATCATATATTTGTGTTCAATGTGTAGGTTTTGAACCAATTAGACAGTGTCAGGGCTACTTTTATGTGTGAACAGCGCCCAGACAGGCACAATGAGTTACAATAAACACTGTATAATTTTTGGTTTTCTGAACATATTTGAGAGAGTTCTCTTCTTGTCTGAAGCAGACGTTCAAATCCGATTGACTGAGCCGTTTTCGTCTTGGCTCATAAGTGATACATCCTCTCAGATCACTGTAGAATATGGTCTTTATAGTTAATGATTACACACGAACTGAACTGGCCGTGAATGGTGTAAATTTTTTAATCATTACACTTGCTCATTTCAATAAGCTCAGAACTCGCTGCCATTCAGTCCTAGGAGGTAAGAGAGCATGTCAGAAGATAGCCTATGAGAAATAAAAGCAATATATTAATATACAGTAATGTGTTGAAACACATTTGAACTACCTTTATTTCTGCATCTGTCAATTGATATTTTTGAAACATTGCCTCTCTCTGCACTTTTAATGTCCAGCTCTAGCCTCTCTCAAAATCTGTCTTGGCTATTAAAATTATATGTTGGTATTTTTCCTCCACTCTTTTGCGGTGAAAAAGGGAAATATGTAAAATTTCTATAATATTAGAACAATGAAAAAGAGTTTCAGATCTGCCATTAGACAGCGAAATGTATGATTGCAAAAACTTCCATTCAAAAAAAATTTTTCTAAGTTTTTTTTCTAAAAGTTTTTCTAAGGCAACTTTGTGGCTGCCTTTCTTGTGTTGCACAATTATAGAGAAAAGATTCAGCATGAACACTGTTAGGGATGACTGTTAGTAAGTTCCTTTTAGTCTGTTTTTCTAAGGAAATGAGGCTTATGCAATTGTGCTGTCTGTCTGTATGTCTGTCTGTCTTTCCTCTCCAGTAACTTTTGAAGCTGCTGGATAATTTTGCCCATGTCTGGTGAGGGCACAGAAGAAGGAAGCTTGGCTGAGAAAACATACTTTCTCTGAAGTTCTGTGAAAATCGGCAGCTGAATAGAAGAGACAGATTGAAATGCCTTGCTGAATGAGAAACTTAGCAGGCTTTCTCTTTGGCTAAGGAGCTAGTCATTCAGCCTAGATGTACTGCCTCGCCATCTGTTACAGGTGAGACAGAGTAAATGACAACCTGTAGCGGATCTGATACTGGAATATTTGAGAGCCAAAGAGGTTAGAGCTTTTACCGTACCTGATTATCTCACACACTCACTCAGTTGCTCACCTGCAGTGTCTGGACTTCCCTTCCCCACAGACAAGCTCTCTGTGGGCCTGGGACAGTCAGGCAACAAGCTGGGTCAGCTCTTGCTGCACTGCTGCTGGCCTTGGGCATTACTGACCAGGGTCTGTGGACATCCATCAGCATTTGTGTCCAGGCAGCTCCCTGATCTCCACTATCTTCTCCGACTTCCAGGATCTTTCTTCCAGCCAGGATCTCTACCATCTTCTTTCCCAGCCTCCTTCTTCTTTCTGAGACCACTTTTCATGAACTCTTCTTTTTGGCACCAGCTGTTATTTCCAGGTCCCCAAGCCCCTGGTTTTCTAAATCTAAATAGTCTCATGTGCACAGTGCATGAACGACCTCCTAATCAGTGGTTCTATCTCCTTATTAGTTGGAGGACTCAGGAGGTGTTTTTCAGAATTTACAACCAGCCCATGCCAGCTGCAGCTAGCAAGTAGCAGGCTTGTGCTTGAGGGTTCAGAGGTTCAATTTCAGACATTCACCCCCCCACCCAATACACACATATGCCCAGTTATCTGCTGCCTTTAAGGGGTCACAGTTTAACCTGTTTTTCTCAGCTGTTACACCAACCAAGATGTATGCAGTGGAACCGCACTGAGCTTGCCTCTAACCTTTCCGTCAGGGAAGACAGAGGTGGGAATAAGGGAAGTTTTAAGGATGTGTGAGCAAATCAAATATACTATGGCAGCATAGCTTCACACTGTGCATCAGTACAGACCATCAGTCCGTTGGAGATCAGATGAGATTAATTGTGCTGCTCAGGAGCCAATGTTAGAGTTATGTCTTTGTTCTACCTGTCAGGTGACAGGTGACAAAATTTAGTTGATAAAAAGTAACTTCAGTGCAGCATTATGGACAAAAAGTAGATGGCACTAGGTAATTGAGTTATAAAACATAGAAATCAGAAAAAAATATAAAATTTTACACTTTTAGAATAGAAAAAATGATGACAAATTCCATCACTACTGTTCAGGAAGAGCCTGGTTGAGCAGTCTAATCAGAAGTAGCTAGCTCACGGAGGGGACTTTAGTAGCAATCTGGAATCAAGAAAAAACATTCAATTTGTTCAAATGTTTTACTTCTTTAGTTCTGAAAAGAGACCACAACACAATTTTTGAGTCATGATACTTCGTATTAATAAAAAAGCTAATTATTTATTCCTGCTCTTCGTTTGCTAGATAACAGATTTTTGATACATTAAAATATGTTGTAAAATTCTGATTACTTCTTATTCTTAGGGCTTAAGTTTAAGCTGTTGAGAAAGACTTATTTCAAGGAGAACTGCTGCTTTTCAGAACTATTTACTGCTCTGTACTGTTTTGGGTACAAAAAGGCTTACAGCTTGGTGAACTCAAAAAGGGCAAATGTTTAAAGTGTAAAATTCAAGGATGTTTTCTCTGTTTCCTGTCAGCTTATATAACTAACTGGCAAGGAGGACAGCATTAGCAATAAAAAGTAGAACTGTCTCTGCAAAGATAGAGATCTAAATAATAGTGGTGGGATGCGTGAGAGGATGAAAAGATCAGCAGAATTCATCTGGAACATTTCAAAGACTGATTATTTTCTTCACTTGTCAGAGGCCCTGTTCCTTAAGAATAAAAAACAGCAGCTAATAAAATGGAAACTTCATATGGCAGACACCAAAAAGAAAAGAACTTTGCCGGTGCTTTTTGGAGTTTGGTGTTGTTTTTGTTTTCTGTTGGTTTATAGCAGCCTAAAGAACATGTGGTTTTTGGGGCACACAGTTTAGCTGTTTCTGCTGGCAGTGCTCGTTCAGTTACCTCAGACGGGGCCATGAGGGAGGGCTTCGTGTGGGCTGCTCGGGTATGTCGCTGTGCGGGTCGTCAGTAGCAAAAAACTGAATCCGGGACCTCTGGGTTTAATGTATGATCTGAAAGATGCAGAACCAAGGCAAGAGCAAGCTAATCAGTCACTATTTATGACTGTCACTACACAGGAGGAGACAACAATGATACTGAGCGGGCATACGCTACATAAAGAGCAGTTTTTTCTGGTATTCGAGCATAACCTAAAGTTGAAGGTGAGGAATACTTTGGGATCCTCCTGTACTGCTAGGAAGCAAGCAGATAACATTATTTCATGGTTCATGTAAAGGGAATACAGGGGAAAAAACATATACATTTTATTCTTCTCCTTAAGAAGAGAAGAATTTATTCTGTTCTGCTGCTGCAGAAATTCTTCTTTCTTTATTCCACACCCTGACACAGGCAGCGTCTCAGATCTCCCAGCACACTCATACATATACTATAATATGTGGCAGCCTAATGATGTTTTCACTGTGGTGGAACAGTGATTGCTTCCTTTATAAAAAGGTTTAAAAAGGTTAGAAGAGATAACAACAGGAATTAGAGGGCTTTTGGATTCAGGAAGCTTCAAATAGCTTTTGGAAAATATTTCAGTTTCTGAGAATTATGTGTAGATTTGTGAGTACACGTATATAACCTATTGTTAAAGACAGACAGTGGCAGCAAGGAAATTAGGGACTTAACACTTTTTTGCCTTGTTGTTTATCTTATTCTTGTCTTAATTTTGTAGCCATTAGATGTTCATTTATAGTCTAATAATACTGATTTCAGTTTGAGAGTTAATTTAAAAGGTAGGGTATATATATCAGGTTAGGGCATACTATAGAAACATTGTAATACCCAAGTCCATTTTCAGGAAGTGTCCTGATTTCTAAAGAGAACTAATATTGACATAGTCAATGGGTGACTGTAGAAATTGTAGGTGGTTTCAAACTCAGCCTGACATGCCCTCTGAACTTCAGAACCTTTAATTCGACCTACACGATCAGCTAAGGTTCCCTCACAAAATTGTATCAGAGATAGGGGATACTGGTCACATCTGATAGTCCCCTCTATTCCTTTGCAAGATCATCCTACCCTTGCTGAACTGCATACGGAAGATTATTCTTTCCCAGGCATATCCACCCCATTTCTCCCCTGTGATGTACCATTATCCACTTAACGTTTGTAACTTTTCCCTAACTGCCTCATACACTGTGGATAACAACATCACTGAAAGATTTCTTGCCATTTTTGTGACAACATGAAGGCAGAGGTGCATTTATAGTGCTACATTCCATCTTAGAGAAGATCATGCAGATCCACGTTTGTAATTACTTATAGTTAAAAGATGTAAATCTATGTGATGATAGTTTACAAAAATCATCTATCAAATTCAGAGATATATTGTCTTTGTTTGCTTGTTTTTGCACCAACAGTTATCTCCCGGCTAAATAGAAATGGAGTTCTACCTCTGATTTAAAGTAGAACCAGGGTATGGTTTTTATGCAACAGTGCACTCATGTGGCAAGATTTAGAAGGTACATACCTAGTTTATTTCCGTATTAGCTAAATGCAATGTATTTTTTTCAATGCAGAAAACAATATAACACATTAAAACTATTATATGTAGATACTATAATTCTGTTATCCAGTATAATCCATTTTAGATTAGTTTTCTTGTCATTCTTTTATCCTTCTTTGTTTGCATACTTAGAAAAATACCCTCTTTCAAATAGGTTTGGTGAGACAAGTCAGGGTTTCAAATAGAGAATATTATCTTGTTTTGTGATGTCTGTTTCTTCAGTATGGCTCCATTCTTTACTGTAAATTTAATTTCAGAGTGTAATCTTGGTACTTTTATTGCATTCATCACCATAGTCTAAACATCTATTTTTCTAACAGAGACCTGACTATAGCTAAGATGCTATCACAGTACAAGCTGGGAACACCACTATTTATGGCTTCTCAGCTACTGTCCAATCAATTGTATACAGAAGTCTGACTATGAGCTCTCATAGCCTGAAGGCAAGACCAGATGTGTAGCTGGAAGTAATAATTTTTATTAGAATACCTGGTAAGGTTGATTAAAGTATAAATAAGCTTCTGGGCACACAAGTCCCTCTTTAAGCCTGAAAAAGAAATGACAAACTTGAAAACTAAACATTCACTGAAAAAAATGGCTATTTAATTAGGCCTAGAACATGCAATATATGCATCTGTGATATCTCCGTCCGGTCCCTCAAGGAAGGCCTACAAAACACCTTCAAGAGATAGGCATTGGAACTAAAATTCGTAACTTGTGGGAATACCAAAAAAAAAAAAAAGATATTGGAAAATATATGCTGCTTTTGTAGCTTATTACCGTGTCTCTCCCCATCACTAACTTGCATACTCCAGAGACTAAGAATTCTTTTTCTTCCATTAAGAAGACAGCTGTCTGAAGGAAACGATAGCAGGCACCTGTAGACGGAGAGTTTTTAGTCAGTCAGAGAGATGATAAATGCTTAGCTGATACAAATCAAATAAACTTTACTCCTGCCATTTCTACTCTTTGTGGTGTTTCAGGAGGAAAGAGGCCCTTGGGAGCACATCTTCCATGCTTAGGACAATCACAAGTGGGTGTAGATCTGTACAACATCAGGGAGCAGCAGCAGTGGCTGCTCCTCAGAGGAAGGTGAGCCAGGAGCCGAGGATGACAGCGAGGCAGGTAAGGGAAAGGCCTCACATGACAAGGGGAGCCGTCCCACAGTACCCAAACAAGGAGAAGAGAGCAGAAGAGTGACCTGTTAACAGTAACAGGTTCAGCAAACAGTCCAGTGATCGCCAGAGTCACTATAGTAGTGAGAAGGTAGGTCCAAGTCAAGACAGAAAGTCAAGTCAACAAGGCAAAGTCAGGATCAGCACAGTAGAAGGCATGGCATGCCTACAGCACTGCTGAGGCAAGGACAGAGGGCAACGGCATGAACTTAAATGCAGTCTGGCCATTGCCTTTTGTAATGTAACTACAGCTGCCTCATACCAACCGCTGGGCAGTCAGGCCAGGCAGGGGAAACCTGTCGTCAGAGTAACCAGAGCACACTGCATTCAGGAACATCCTGTTTTTTCAAACGACTGGGTCATCACCTTTGCTGAACACAGCTTCTCTAAACCATAGATCAGAGCTGGCTCTCACATACCAATCTGCTGCCCATTCCACTTAAGATTTGTTAAAAAAAAAAAAAAAAGACTACTGCTCTTTGTCAGTGCTATGAAACACTGGGCTTCCTCATAGATATTAGCTCTGCAGGAGGACTACGCAACACCCCATGCCTTCTGGATCTGGTGTTCCTTAGTCCTACATGGGTGGCATGACACTGACTACAAGCATATAAAAACGCATACCTGATGTTTCTTTAATGGGGCTCTTCAAGCACAACCTTAGCTACAGGTGCTGCAAAAAGTGGGTTCATGCACTCATCATCAAAAGACTACCTAGAGCTCAATGTTCTGTATGACATTTATTATCACTACGTGTAGCGCACTTACTGAGGCTGGGAAAATCATTTCACCTGGATTCCAGTCTTAGAGGGTCGTCTTACAGATGCATTTTACTCCAGCGTGATCTCTTACTTTGCAGAAAGGACAAGAATGCTTGAAAAGGTCTTAGAGGGCTTGTTAAAGTATACGTTATTGAATTTTTTCATTTTTTTGCTTGCATTGATTGTCTCAACTTTTAAGTACCCTAAGCTTTTCATAGCTTTGTCGATGTTAAGGGATTAGCTCAAAACCGTGCACAAACACAAATCTCTCCCAGCTCCCAGCTGGGGAATCCTCTGGAGCCCAGGCCGGCGATCTTTGCAGTGGCAAGGGGGACAGGAAGACATGTAAGGGCAAAGCTGAAAAACCTGAAAGCGCACTCCCAAGGATGGCTCCATGCTTCTAGTTACTACCTGTTCCCATTCAGAAAATGGTAGTATTTCAGGTCAGCACCAGTTTCAGCAAACTTGCTCACTGCAACCACTGAACCGC